AMASASMCMYATGYAAGASAGGATATCAATGCAATTCTTTGTAATCTTATTTTAAAACRGATTCTATTTCGTTTGCCGCGGACTCAGRGCTCGAAATAACGGCTGGACATATGCWGGACAAGATGWCCTTCCAAAATTCATTTTTGGAAGGTCATTTTGAATTTTGAAAGGACAAAAACTSTATRCTATTATTTTCCCAATATGCACCAGACATTGTAAAATYAACCAGAAACTCTTTRATGGATGCTATTTTACTCATTTCAAAAGAAAAGTCAGAAATGTAAAAAAGTTTGTAAAAKATTTATTTAGTGAWTTGGAAATTGATAGTTTTTTTGTCTAAAAATATGGCAKGTCAACTTGTCCTTTTCAAAATCCAATTTGGAAAGACATTGTCCTTTGGCCGGCCGTTACTGAGTCCAGATTCCAAGCGTTTGGATTCCGGAGMCAAAGTCTTCATACCTTGGTAATCCACGTCCAGAGTTGGGCACATCTGTCAAACAATCCAAAACGAGAACTATTTAATACGTTAATGAAGTTTTATGAAGTGAATCCGAAACATTTAATCTAAGGTTAGCTTTTATACAACAAATCACAACAGCTTTAGACGGCAATATAAAATAATTCTAGTAAATAATGACTGTTATCAGTACATGCTTTACTTCTTCTCCATCTTTGTTTTACAAAAGACTTTAAATATTTAAAATGTCATTTATTTATTTAGTAGCATGGCGCAAAGAGATAATCAAAAAGTACAATTAAAAATAATAGCAACAAATATAGTAGCAGCCGTTGATAAGAGGATTTTGCAAGAGGAAGAGCACTTGCAGTAGAAAGGTTTCCATGTATCAAAATTATCGATATTATAATAAGCATTAAGTATAGTTTAAAAAACTGTCTCTAATGTTTTAAATGGCTTCAAAAACTCCAACATTAATTTGAAACTCAAAATTCTTGGATAAATTGTCGTCGTAAAAATAAGTTTTGAGATAAATGGGRCAAACKGATCAWGCGCGAATYACTTTACAAAGCACTCTCTAGGATCATGGACCTTTATATCTGATAAAAGTCACCCCTATAAGTATTCTTTATATAAAGAATACTAATAAGGAGTGTTTTATCAGATATAAAKGTCCATGCATGTGACCAAACAGGCTCATTTTGCTGGCCTAATAGCTCATTAATTGCGTATGAGCTTTTGAAAGTTAAAAAGTGCTGAATTAGATGTCATTTAAATTSGCAAACTGCGCATAGTTACAGGTTCTTCCAAAGCTTAGGTGTGCGATTAAAAAAGCTTATAACTGAAAGAGTTTTAACCACTCGTTTATTGGTRAAATAAAGCACATGGGGATGTTGGCAGAACACAAAAAAGACCTAAAAATCACGAGCACGTTTAAAGTTATTTTGGCATTTTTTGAGTGTTTTYCAAACATCACCAAGTGCCATATTTCACCAATAAACACTTCGTGAATCCATCCWCTTGGACCAATCAGAGCGTAGAATTATATTATATAAATCTGAAAAATCACTCACCAAAAATGCTTTCTGTTGATTCTTATTCTAATAAGACACAAGTCGTAAAAATACTTACATGCATTAACAAGATAAAACTTTTTATATTCTGCTGTGATTACACGACCTTCGTTGTCGTGTTCTTTTTTACCTGTTGACATGTAACTTAGAATTCATAACTTCATTCGCTTATAGTCCTCTCACTGTAATCCCTACACCATCTTGAAAGGTACATGTAGCTGTGCCTTTACATGAACAAGACAACYGTTGAACATGCAATGATAGAAACTTGCTTTTGCATCTACAGACAATTATTCACGACACAGGTTTCTATCATTGCACGCTCAATGGTTTTCTCACTTTGATGCAAAGGCATGGTTACCTTTCAAGATGGCGCCAGGAACCATGAAGGTGACAAACCATAAACCTTTTCTGAAATACAAAATCATGTTGCATTGCGGTCTAGCTTAAGTACAAACAACATTTGTCATATTTGGCAGCATGGACAAAAGAACATAGACCACAATGCAATGCAAACTGCTTTCTCAGAAAAGGCCTATACTCCAATTTACAATTCCAAATGTAATCTTGAAAAGGTATCCAAGCCTTGCATCAAAGCAAGACAGTAGTTGAGCCTGCAATGATAGATACCTTTTGTTCACACCTAAGACTATTATTCACAGGTTTCTATCATTGCAGGCTCAACTCCAATCTCGCTTTGATGCAAAGGCTCGGCTATGGTGCTTGGAACTGTAAAATAGAGTATTGTCGTCATTCAGTTACAGGGCGCAACATAGCAGCGTCTGCCAATGCCCAAATGACAGGCCACAATGAAAGCAATGCAAAGCCAAAAGAAAAGTAAATTTCAAGATTCTGTGGGCGACATTATTTCCCATCTTAAGTCCAACATGCCATAGAWTTTACTTACCAATGCCGTACTTCACTTCCAATGGCTCTGTTTTACTTAGAATTCTGAAATCAAAAAGAAATACAACTTAATGGATACAACATGTAATTGACGAAATACAGCCTGGTTAATACAACTGACCCTTTGCCGACAGCCACTAAGTACCACAATTTTTTCTTGTTAATCAAAGACAAAATGAGCCAAAATTACTTAGGTCCATACTGTAATCGATCGAAACGTCGTGAATCGTTTCAACTTTGGTCCAGTATTTGACTTATCACTTTATTTAATCCATACTGTATATTACAAGGCATTATTAATGGATAGTACCCACCCTGTACCAGCATATCCCTTTTGATCAGCAGAGTTCAAATAGACATTGTATCCCTTGAACTCAGCTTCCTATAAAAAAAAGAATTGCATTAAAGATAAACAGCTTTGTATAAGTAGTCAAATATTTGAAAACAATTTGCATACTTAGAAAAAAGTTTACCGATGGAAACTTGTCTTCATCACATTTGATCTCTTGTAGACAGATTAAGTCAGGCTTCTCTCTTGAGACAAAAGTGCTTGGTTTGCATTTCTACAAAAATAAAAATTCATGGCCAGTAAATTTAACTTATTCTTCTAATCATTTTTATTTAAAGCAGATCACTGTGTGATAGAAAAACCATTCAAAGTGGTGCACATTCAACCATTAATTGATACAGTCATCATTTTGACAGTGACTGTATTGGGTTTTTTTTATTATTTATTTTTTGAGTGGTAGGGGATGGTTTATTTTTCAGGGGTTTAATTAACCCTCAAATATAGCAGAGACCTTTTAGGGCATTACAGCATTACATTACATCAACCTAGTCATCACTGCTTATAATACATACCAACCAAGCTTTCACTCCATTAACATTCCATGAAACAATTTTAAAGTTAAAATCCCTAGAACGAAAGAATAAAAATAAAAAATTAATTACTGATCATAGAGCAGTACTAGTCAAGCACCATGGAAATTAAACTAATTTTAAATGATTAAATTAATTTTTACTTTCCATACATTTCTTTGTATCTTTCACACACATCACACGATTGAAAAAATGTCTGCGTGTGCACGGAAATTCCAGGGGGGGTCAGTGATCATAAGTAAAATAAATATCCTCCATAACAATGGTGGATATGGATATTTTCTGGAACTACGCATTTTATCAATTTCACACTGTATCATKGTTATTTTGCGAGACTTTGCCTACCCAAACAAAATGGCGGTCGAAACGTTGCATCACATCCAGGGATGCCAACCCCCGAACTTTTCAAATCTTGAGATAATGTACATGAACGAAAATGATGACATCATCGTATTTATCAAATTTCGTTATAACTATAGTGATTTGATTGGATGTATCTTAACCAATCATTTATAGATTGTATTGTATTGAAAATGGCCGCGGATGGCGTGCAGTGTTATTGTTATCAGAGAAGACTGGGATTTTTGTATTTTTTCAGAACTAAAATGACACTGATATGCAAGGTAATTTGAGTTTTAATAGATGAAAAGAGATATTTCAAAAAACTGATATATGAATCGYCATTATCCRGGAGATTWAGCKKTAAAATCTTGAGACCGGGAGAAACGGTCGAAAATCTTGAGACTCCCGGATTCTCCGGGAGAGTTGGCATCCCTGCACATCATTGATAGAAATATTACTTACACATCACTCGAAGAATCATAACCTCCTGATCCCGAGGCACCACTGTCCTTCTTGGCAGCCTTGCTTGGTTTGATGTCCTCCTCGTCTGAATCAGAGTCGTCTTTCGGCCTTTTCGATCCCTTAAAGAAATCCGTTATCTGTTTTATAGAAATTTACAGTTCACAGTAAGATGATTGGGTGCAAATGATTCGTCCTATCACCTAAAATATCCTGCAAACTGCTGCATGATGGCGCTCAAAGTGTGAGAGCTCAAAACGCTCGAAGGTTTGAAATTATATCTAATCTTACATGTACCACATGCTATTATAATACAAAATAGCTTGGCTTACCTTTGCTTTTGTCTTAGGAGGCATTTAGAAGGCTATTTGTACCAAACTCCGTCAAGCTACGTTTAGTGCTGTTTAGTTTGACAGGGAAAAAATAACCAGGCGTTACTAACGCTAAAAGATGGRAGATTGGTTCTAGTGGAGTTTTTTGCAGTTTGCATATGTACGTTTTGAATCTCGCTACATATATACTTTAAATCGTTTATGGTGACTTTTTAAATGATTTCGACTTCGACGTTAAGGGTAATAACTATCTGATAATTTTAATATTACACTATCCGTAGAGATAGARCCGCGAATTGGGAGCACATCCACAGGAAGCCCGCTGAAACAAAAACACTACACTAATAGATATGTCTCGATAGATCACAAATAAAAACACGTGGCTTCGTGATTACAGAATCCTTTCGAACAGTCTACAAGACTTCGGTGTATTTCCAATGTATGGTATTTTTCATCCTAGTAGCCCTTTGAAGCATTTACGAAATGGTTCAGTAACTGAACTCTTTCTGTAGGACAAAGACATCTGCATCACAGACATCTGCATTTAAACAATTTTTTTAATGTCTAAAAATGCACAGTTTTGTGCGAGTTTGATATCTGATGCCATAACTGTACGACAAAATATGGTGATCAACCCCCACACCTTTTTATGACAATTTGCAAAGTTCAGCACTAAAGCATGCATACTGTTATTCACTAGTCAATTGAAACCCCCGACTCCCGGGGAATACCGGGGAATTTAACGTTTCAAATTTTCTGTTGGATACACAGGGTTAATTTTTGTACAATCCTGTCGTACTCATTTGCGTACCACATGAGGCTAACTGGAGAAAAACATATCTAATGAGTTTCTATTAAAAGGTAGTTTCCAGCCTTATACATGATCAAACGCGCGTTAAAATCCCCGCTCTTTGACCCGCTTCGAAAACGTTCATCAAAATTCCGACCCCCGGGGCAATCTTGCTGTTAAAAGCACGTTAAACGCGGCACGTCCACGTTCAGTGCCCCGCTAGCCCCGGGGGGCGGGGGGAGGGGGTTTCAATTGACTAGTGCATTATCAAAGACAAAATATAACTTCCGCTTAAGAACTTTTAATAAGTACCAATTGCACATTCTAAAAAGAATAAWGTTTACATATTTATACTTTGCATATATTTACCTAAAACGATATACAATATGCTATGTTGCAGCTTTTGAAATTTGTATTCAAAAGAATTTTTCAAAGCAGAATAAATGAGTACACGTTTCGCGAGGGGTTCAGTAAACACTACTTTACCAAATCCGATCAAGCCCGTATACTGGGTGGGGTTCGGGGGATTCAGACGACCTCATATTATCAAAAAAAAAAAAACGAACCCCCGGCCCTACCCGACCCATTTGTAAGGCAGCCTACGGGCCTTTTTAAAGGTTTGATTATTAATTCTATATGCGTTCATATTCAGTTTTTTCACTTTTGTCAAAAATCAATTCAATTTCTTCTAGACTTTTCCCTTTTGTTTCTGGCAAAAAGAACAAAACAAAAAGAAAAGCTGCGAATGAAATGCACCCATAACACAAGAACGTTCCAGGTGGCGTTAGTACACTTTGGAAATCCACAAAGGTTTTAGTGACTATAAAACCAGCTGTCCAGTTCGAAAACCCCGATATCCCACCAGCAATACCCCGTGCTTTCAAGGGAAACAGCTCTGACATTAGAATCCAAGGAATTGGACCCCATGCCACCGAGAATGACAAGAAAAATATAACTAGACTTAAAATAGCAAGCCATGATATCTTTGATGCGGGAACGCTGTGGTGAATAGTGTGTATTATTCCTTCTGTTACTGAGCCATCTTTAGGAATATAGATCTCAAAATAGACAGCTAACGCAATAAGGCTAATAGCCATTCCAAGGCCACCAGTCCATAAAAGAAGCTTGCGACCCGCCTTGTCCATTATGAAGATCGCGCACGCAGTACCAACGAACTCTACACCAGCAACAATTATAGACACAGCTTTAGCGTCTTCGAAACCAGCTTCTTTAAATATAGCAGCACAGTTAAACAAAACTGCATTGACACCACAGAACTGCTGGAAGATCATCACAATAACGGTCAAGAATAATGGCCTAAGGATAGGTGGCTGACAGAACTCTTTCAATGTCATTTGTGCTCGATTATCTGATGAAAATACAAAATGAAACCAAATCATAAAAGTGAAAAAAAAAAAAAAACAAAACAAGAAGATATTAGCCCATTATCCCCATTCCTTTTCGGCCCCCAGCTGGCACGCCTGTTAGCAGGCTAAGGAGACTATATCTATGTTGATTGTTCGTAGTATGTTATAATTGTAATTTGCTGCAGTCAATAATCTGGATTTAAGACAAAACCTCTCCGCACACAGTCATCTCCCTTTTCTAGTATATCAACAATTTACAGTTTGTGGGTTTCCTGTGGACTACTAACAGAGAAGAGAGGAGATCGGGAAAAGGAAAAGAAAATGCGAGATGCTTAACGCCGCCAAAACTCGACAACCGAGTCGAATCGCGTTCTCATAGTGCGTTTGCATTTATTGTGGACAAAAGTGCTTACTCGAGGTGAAGTTGCAGCGACTGCAGAGCACATTTTGGTTTCGTAGACTAACGAACCGGTSGAAGGCCGGCGCATGTACCCGGTGAGATTACAAATTTTTGAAATTTCGAATTCAGTATTTTTAGGGACACATAGCAAATAAAAAGGAAATTGAAGAAAACAATATTGAAAGGGCTATATCCAGCTTTGCTCCGCATKGCTCATTTAACCTGTGGACTGTTTAGAAGTTGCATCATTTTCTTTATCTCTCGCTTATTTAAAAACAGTTATTTTACACAATTATCTCTTASCAAAGTTCGATTCAATAGCATGACATTCGTCCTCAGAGTTAATAGACGGCCCCTTTAACCATTTAAGAGCCTTAACTGCCTCCATTCTTTTATGATGTGACAGCAACCAAACGGGGGTTTCTGGCATAAACAGCATGAGGGAGATCAAAAGGGCAGGTGGAACAGCAGCAATTAGTGCCAGCCATCTCCATTTCACGACGACACCAAACGCGAACGACATCAATAAACCGATGGTTAACGCCAGTTGACTGACACTGCATAACGCTCCGCGAAGATTTGGACTTGAAATTTCAGCGATGTATACCTAGAAAGAGTACAATTACAGTCTTAATGCAATCATAATTAATAGAGGGAAATGGTTTGTAGTTCTCTTGTTGTACTTACAGGCCGTAGACAGAGTGAACAGATAACCGAGGCAAGCGACCCCCACAGACGGTAGGAACTAGGGGGAGTGCGGGAGCCTTCTCCCCCGAGAAAATTTGAATGCAGTCTCGGAAATGCGATTTGCAGCGTTTCGATCGTGGGCCTTTTGGTAACTCTTTATTGAACAGATTTTATCGGAATTTATCATGCACTATTTATGAAACAAAGATCGCTATACATACAAAATTAATAAAAATTTTTAGATTTTTTGCACAAAATCAGTCGTACGAAATCGGCTCTGAGAGACTAAGATGATATCAGTGATGAAAAACAAAAAGCATCGGCAAAATTTTACCGAGGCGAGTGCCTCGATTGGCACTAGCTCTACGGCCCTGACTTCCTTTTCACATCTTTGTATGTATATGCAAAATGAGTGAACACAAACACTCTTATATTAATGAGATAATGAAATGAAATATTTCAATATTGATTAATCATTTTTTTGCTTTCTAAAGAATAGTCAAAAAAATAATTTTCGCTCTGTTCATTCAGATATGACAACTTAGAAATAATATAAAGAATGTGCATAGTCACGTTGGAAAAAAGTGCACAAAAACCTACAACAAAAGGCTTCCTAACCATTTCATGTTTGCTTTTAGTAGTGGATCCGGTAAAAAAAATCAGCTTGTGAATCCGAAATCCTGTGAGTTCTCTGATTGTCTTACATGGGGCGATGATTACTCACACTACAGACTCACTTACAGGAACCATCAATGATATCATGCCAACTCCATTTAACATTACATGGGGCGATGATTACTCACACTACAGCCTCACTTACAGGAACCATCAATGATATCATGCCAACTCCAAGCCCACTGATGAGCCTTCCAGTGTACAGCATCCAGATGTTCTTGGCATAACATATAAGCAGCCATCCAAGCTCAAATGGTACACAACAAACCATGATACCGCCCTTCCTACCAAAGGCCTCTATCAGCCATCCTCCAAGAGGTCCTCCTAATAATGCCCCAATATTTACCAGAGCCTATGTAACACGACAAAACAATTAGCTTTTTTGTTCACGAGTAATTTTTAATCGTCCGTGTTGATTAGTGAAACTGTTGCCTTTGGGGGCGATTAGAGGCTGTAAAATTTTGCCGTGCAGGATTTTTATCAAAATCCCCCCTCCCCCCACACACCTCAAAATTCTAATGGATAGCCCCTTCTTATAATATTATAATATAAGTCATGACAGGCTTGCCGCGTCGCCTTATAAATTTGTCAATATGAATCAATAAGAATTACCGCCAAAATTATAAAAAGTCTATAACAGAATTATTTGTCTTTTATGGTTCGAATGCTCGTTACGAAATTCGATTTTAACTAATTACCAGTTATATTCTTTTTGTAGTGATTTCATCCTTTTTCATTTTTAATGTCATTAACATTACCCAGTCWTTTGACGCAATTCATTAGAAGTACGAGATCGTCGCAAGTGTCTGCACAGGTAGCCTCAGCTTTGCAGTTTTACTGTATTTAGTAATTTTGTGAAATATGTTAAGTGTAATACAACTAAACATCTCTACCTATGCATTGAGGTTTTCGCTGTATTCCTGTGGACTTTCAGGCCATTTTGAGCTATTTTGAGCCATATTTCACAAAATTATTAAAAACGCTACCTGTGTTGTCTTCAAGTACACTTCGATATGAGTGTTATTTACTTTACCTCCGCAGATCTACATATATAGCAGTAGAGGGGTATAAGTTATAGTAGCTATACATAACGTAAATATTTTGCCACAGAGCATCCTTCCTTTCAATTGTTGGGCCAGTTGACCCTTAACTCAGGTGATGTTTTAGATTAGTTACGTAACAACGGGCTGCGTTGCCGGTCTACATAATTGGAATTTTGCGGTCTCTGAACAACTCTTAGCCTCCGTAGCAGACGTTCCAAGCGGTTCGATTCTCTCCCGCAGAGAGAGAGAATCGAACCGCTTGGAACGTCTGCTACGGAGGCTAAACAACTCTATTAGTGAATATTTTTTCCAACGATATGACTCAAAATGATGCCATTATATGTTATTATATTTGAGACTTACAGAAAACCATGACCCCTCAGTCTTTGTTAATCTTACAGCAGGCGTAGATTCGGTTTCCAAATCAATCAAAGCCGATGAGGAGTAACCGAGAGCGTAGCCAAAGAGTAAAGGACCAAGACACGCTATAATGGTAGCTATAATCATGCGACTGACCCGGCTACTTTGAATATTTTGATTGGCCATAACTGCTATTATTTGCTGCGGTGGTAGTATGTAAGAAGACTGTCAGCGGGTCTTGTTACTCTGATCTCTACGAGTACATCATGACCAAGACATGCAGGCTAATTCATGTCCAGCACCAAAATAACTGGTGTCTTGTATCAAGGACTTTGACCTTCCATCTCAGCGATTGGTTTCGCTTGTAAAACGTAATATTAATATTTGACAATGAAACCAAAACTGAAATTTTGACGACAATGTGCCAAAGCCTTGAAACTCCTTCTAACATCAGGTCGTGACTGCGAGATAATTACGTCACACAAAAACTTTTAATGTTCAGACGCTAAGGATCATGGTCGCCAGAGGAACTATCAAAGAAAATGTACATGAGCAATCATTGATTCATTCATAATCCCGGTTTGGCGCTAACAGTAATGGGTTGACCTTAGCTATTAGAGTGTGTAGTTTTAATATATTCTACCTCGTAGCTAGAAATATAACTTACTGAAACTTTAAAGATTTAGAATAATATTATGAAAGAAAAGGTCTCATCACTTTGTAACCTGATCCTCACGCCCCCTCTAAATCACGGCTTATAGATATCGTCTCCGTATTTTGCAATTATGTCGATTGACAAACGGTTRTCGTTGACCGGACTTCGTAGCACGCGAGCAACGAGAACTAACAGGTTTCTGGGTAAAACTTTTAATCTTTTAAGGAACTGGCAATTTCGGCATAACAACACCTTCTAGTACAGTGTCAATTTGTTTTGGCTTTTATTCTCTTTTTAAACTTGAAGACAAACATTGAACGTTGTTTAATCTTGAGAAATTATCCTTCAGTATGTTTGTATATGAGTAATGAACATTGTATTCCCCGCCATGATGGAATATAATGTGAGATGCAAAAATCAACATCACATACATGCATAATTAAATTTTCGTGATTTGGAAATTTTTGTCACAAGTATGTGTCAGTTCTTCCAATCACAAAGGCKTTCAAATCTCTAGAATTTGCAAGTTCATTGATTTTTTTTATCCAGAAACCAGTTCGGGCTTRTCGCGTTTCGTAAAACCCGGTCGACGACAACCTTTTGTCAATCGACTATATATAGCGGTGATTTCGAGATGACTGTGGACTAATGGCACATAAGCTTCTAGTATACTAACTGGAATAGTGAGGAACCAATAATGGTGACAACCAAAT